TTAACAAAACTAACGCAAAACTATTGTGCGATTGTCGATTGTTTTGCAGCCAATTCAACTGTTCAGTTGCACAACTAAAAATTGTATAGAGTAACCTCCATATAAGCTCATACGTATCAAAGCGAGACAAAACAGTTGTGGGATATTTTAGTTTCAGGTGTTTTACTCTATATGTGTTATTTACTAACTTTCAAATGGTTGTTCCACACTATGATACTTGTGTGGCGGCTTGCAGCTCTCGCGTAGTACGCAAGGCTTGGGCACGAAGTCGTGTCGCTGTGTGGTTACATTCTGCATGGGCCCCTGCCCCCACATGTCGTGGTGGCATGGCCTGATAGGCTGCGTTACGCATACCGGGTTCGGTAAGAACGAGAGCTGGAAAGAAAGATTGCATCATATTGTAACTCCACAAAAGCCAGTTTCAACATTTTTTGTTTCCTTGAACCCTTAGCTGCTAATATTCAACTTTACTCTCAATTTTATTATCGTCCACCACATACTAGTTCTATGCCTTCTGTTGTGCCCTAAGTGGTCCTCATGAAACGCTTTGGATATCAAGTATATAAAATAATGAGACACTGTGATTTACGCCATCGTTGTAATCTATATCAAGCTTCTATCTGTTAGTCGTAGTACTCCCTCTATATCATTCTTATTCTTACTATTTCTGAAATTTCTACTTTGTTGTTCACGGCGAATGTCGTCATTCTTGCTGTCTAGCTGATCAAGTTTTGTTCTTTTACCTTCTGTACAGTGCATGACTCCATAGGCTCGCAACTGGGCACGATATTGGGCGGCTGCTTGCGCGCAACACCGCGCAGATTGGCGCAGCCATCAGTCGGCAAGTACGACAGTTTGTATGTAGTGCATGTCTCCACTGGCGCGGTTGGCTTCAGGTAGCAGCGCCGCGGCGCGTACGAATCCGGGATCTTCGGTTGTTTATAGCACTGTAACAGAATTGTAACAAAGTACGTGCGTTATTTATCCAATTTTAGTAAATGTAATGGTGTTTTACTACACTTGAAGTTTAAATATGATGGTGAGGTACATCTGCAGGGTAGATCTACGAAGAGAAGGATGAATTTGATCTTAAGTTAAGAACAAATTAAGACTTTGTGCCCTGATTATGGGCAAGGTCTCGAGGGTAGCTGTCCCTCCCCTAGAGAAATTAAAAATCTTACTAATATTATAAATACGACAGTTTAGACGGATAGATGGATTTTCTTTGGACTTTGTCCCTAAACTCCTGAACGGATCTCGACGATATTAGGCAAAGATATTGAGGATACTGTGGAAGCACACATATGCTACTTACTTTTATTTTTTTTATTACCTCGCAGACGAAGTCGCGGGCGAAAGCTAGTATAAAATAGACACAAGATTATCTTCGAATAATATTGGGAATAGTGGGATAGGAACACAAGATACCAAATACTATTGTAAAGCTGTTGAAACAGAAAGAATCGTGTCAACCCTTGTGCCGTAGGAATGTTAAGCATAACGTACTGGGTTTAGTATAGGATTCTTGCCGCAACAGCAGGAGCGGCAGGCGCAGGGGTTGTCCTGCTTTCCGTCGATGGGCTTGCCGTCGCGCGGACCCGACTTAATGCCGGCGGTCGGCGCGCACGGGTCTGCCGCAGGACATGGCACGCACCTGCAAACATTGTTGCTCCAAAACATCATCATCTTCCTCCTTTTTGTCCTCCACATAACTGTATCATCTGTCATCTCAGTCGTCACTCCCTTCTTGATCATGTCACCTTTCACGCAATCCATTAATCTCTTTCTATGTCTACCTCTATCGGTATACCACACTCATAACTAACATTCTCCTTGTTACATGCGATTCATCCCTTCTCATAACACGTCTATACCACTAACCTTTTAATAATAAACTAAATAACATTTTTAATTATAAACGTACGCCCGCGACCCAGAGCGGTAGACAAAGACTACATACCTCCATTTGACTATATCAGGACAGATCTTTTACGCTTTTGCTTTCATCATCATGATGCATGCACGTTTCGGGTGCAACGAGTACGTAATGAGTATTGCATTTAGGAGGTTCCGGTAATTCTAAAGCTAAACATATTGTATTTCAAACTTTTGTCTTTACAAGAAATTTTATCCGTGTTTATTTTTTATCTACAGTTCGTAAAAAGTAAAGTGAACCACTTATTTATAAAATGTAGGCTTTTGTTTGGATTCGTATGTGAGTAATCATTTGAGGTACCTTTTTCATTTTTACGCAAATTGACCACACGTTAAAGTGGTATAAAATGTTTTTTTTTTGTACGTTTTGTCAAGGAAGTTGCTTACTAAGTGCAACAAAACACTCACGCCTTTGATTAAAGGAGGAAAGCAGAAGGCGAGTTTTATGTAAAAAGTTATTTAATATTACTGTCTACATATCAAGATATATGCTTATACTCGATGGTGTAGTATTTTTCTTACGTAAATATAGAAATAGAAAAAAATATATTTAAAAATGAAAATATGCAATTCAACTCACTCTGGCATAATTTCAAGACAATCCTTTGCCTAAATCAAATGAATAAAAATAAAAACTAATCTAAAACCTAAAAGTAATACAAACGGTAAAGAATTTTAAAAAATCATATCTATCTAAAAATCATTACTAAATGAAATGACACTGACAAGTTAATCTTTTGTTATAACAAAATCATTTTTCACATCCAGTTGGTTTTTAATAAAAAAATCTAGAAAGGTTTTATTGTATTATAAAAAAGATGAAATAAAAACAGAAATGATATTCTGAAGGGTTCATCAGTAGGCAAAAACTCAAACAGCAGAACCAAACCAAGACATCTGCGTGTTTCCAGTTTTACAATTTATCTAACCAAAAATTATGACGAATTAATTAAAACTTTAACGCCAAGTGATAAGGCTCTCATGATCCAGTATAACTGGTAATAAAATATCTGCTTTCAATATATAAGGTTCAATTACATTTTTTTATAAGAAAAGGAGGCAAACGAGCGGCGGGAACACAGAGGTGGTCAACGACGCCCATGGACATCCGCAACACCAGAGGAACTACAGATGCGTTGCCGGCCTTTCAGAGGAAATTATATGCTCGCTTCTTGAAGGACCCTAAGTCATAATGGTTTTGAAATACACCGAGGACAGACCGTTCCACAACGCGGCTGTGCGGGGCAGAAAGTTCCTTAACTTGTTTTTGATAATATTACAGTGCAAAAAGTCTGCCAATGTCCCATTCTACTAAGAGTATAAACGCGGATCGCGCACTTCTGCTCAGCGTCATTACCTCATGACGTCAAACGGTCATCGGTAATGTTTAGCATAAGTTACATACTCGTAAATGTATACATACATTTGGACCTTAAACAATGGAGGGGATATTTTAAAATAAAAATACGACTTCACTTTTACTCTGTTTATTGTTTCAAAGTTGTAACATATTAGAATACTTAAATTTAAGTTGAAAGATTGCAGTAAATACTTTTATTCTATCCATCGGCAGCACGGGTAATACCATGCGTTAGAACGATACGGCTGAAATGAAAAGATAAAATACATTCATAAAAAGAGTTAACTTAAAATTTGTTTGTTTTTGAGTTTTTAATATAAATAACATTAATTTCGGACGATAGGATGGGGACATAAACCAGAAAGAGTTAAGATTGAATGTTGGCTACATAGATAGATGAAGACCGAAGAAAGTATAGATGGATTGTGTGAAAGAGGATATACTTAAAAAGGAAGTGAATTCAGATATGACGGCTGATAGAGATGTATGGAAGAGTAGCCATACTGTGCCGACCCTCCATAGGGACAAGGGCAAGTTGATTGACGATTAAAATCGGGTAGTAACTGGTACACCATTTGGTGCGAGAAGTGTCTGTGCCGAAACTACCCCCATCATCTCACTCTAACTTTCATGCCAATAGCTGTCACAAATTCAAATATGCCAGCTACTGGCAGCACTGCTAAGGCGTGTAAATTCGAGTCATAGTGTTAGTGACGTACTCGACCGGTGCCGCAACAGCAAGAACGGCAGATGTAGGGGTTCTCCTGTCTACCGTCCATCGGCATACCATCGCGTAAACCAGACTTGATGCCGGCAGTCTGCGCGTACGGTTCGCTAGCTGGACAAGGCCACCAACTGTGTACAAATTGCAGAAAAAAAAGTGGTAGAGAAATTAAGGCGTAAAAGGTTAGCATGGTATGTGCATGTTGTTTATAATCATAACACCTACAACATGCTTTCGGTTACACTTTTTCACGATATTAAATTTAAGGGGTGAGTAAATTGGAAAAATGCTCTGCGAGAAATACACAAAATTATAATACAATAGCAGCAATAAAGCAAGTTACCATGGCTACTTAAATTCTCATCTAAAGGAGTAAAGCAATTATATGGCAATGGCAGCTCCCGTTGCCCACTTCTGGCGACAGTATTTTTTATGAAAATTAAAGAAAATGACCGATTGAACTCACTCTGGCATAATTCCAAGAGAATCCTTCGCCGAAATCAAATGAATAAAAATATAAACTAATCTAAAACCTAAAAGATAATAAACGGTAAATATTTTTAAAAGATCATATCTAAAATTCAAGAAAAAATAATATAAATTGACAAGTTAATCTTTTGTTATTTCACTTCCTTTTTTTTTTCATCAAATATAGAAAAGGTTTTATTTTATTTATTGAATTAAAAAAAAAGTTGGGTTCGATTCCCGCCATGTACCTATCATCATCATCATCATCATCTCCCCTGCCTTATCCTACTCCCGTAGGGTCGGCGCACCAGGTTTTCGTCCTCCAAAGCATTCTATCATCCGTCATCTCAGTCATCACTCTCTTCTTGATCATGTCACCTTTCACGCAATCCATCCATCTCTTTCTAGGTGTTCCGAATTTCTATTTTCACATGTAAACAACTCTCTTACGATGAATGAAAACATCGTGATGCAACCTGCACATACCTGCGGAGACATTCAAAAGATGTGTGTGAAGGCAATGTACAGTCGACCAGTGTGGCTGATTATTACGTAGTCGGTCCGATCTTAGGGTAGGTATGTCTTTTATGGATATAGTATGGATCGAGCATTCCCCTTTGACAAAAGGCTCAGAGCCCCGCAGTGGGGACGTGAGCTTATGAATATAACAATATATAATCTATACTAATATACTCGTTATAAAGCGTAAGCACACACTTCTTTGTGGCGTAAGATGTCAACAATTACAGCATATTTTTAAATAATCCTTTTTTAATAAAAAGCCCTACACTTACGTCACGCTTTAGGTTATATATTTTCACGCTATTAAACTTAGGGGTAAGTAAATTGGATAAAACCCTAATGTGGGAAAGAGAGCTACGAGCTACGAGCTACCAACATGAAGGAAGCAAGTTGTCATTTATGCATTTGAATATTGACATTTTACAAATGTAAACTATAAAATTAAAAAAATTTTAATTTTCATGCGGATGGAGCCGTACGGGAACAGCCAGTTGTAACTAAAATCCCTAGGAGATAGGGATCGTTTGCCCCCTTCCATTCTTCCAATCTTGCCCAAGGCATCGGTTAATCCAGCCCTTTGCTATAGAACTCCCAATATGTACAGATGATTGGATCAAAATAAAAATACAATTTCACTTTTCAATTGTTTCAATTTTTATTATCATTTTCAAGTTGTACTAACGGTATTGAATAGTAAAATTCAATTTAAGGTTCCAGATTGTAATTGATATTTTTATTGTTAATTATGTTTTTCACATCCAATGTAGGCAAGGATGACACGATACATTAGGGTTGCAGTAATATGCCTGAAACAGAATTTGTTAAATCATTATTCTTATTATAAACATTAGGTCACCTGATTTGATATAGATAACTAGCTTCTGCCCGAGACTCCGTCTGCGTGGAATTAAAACAAAAGAAAGTCACCTACGTGTTCTCCCAGACTATCCTCTACATCTATGTCAAATTTCATCCATATCCGTTTAGTTGTTTAGACTACAAACTCTAACAAACATTCATCCATCTAAACTTCCGCATTTATAATATTAGCAAGATTAAAACACTATTTTTAGACAGACACTGATGCGCTTGCTCGCTTAATCATAGTATGAAGACTTGATATTGTAAGTAGTTTGAATGGATGGATATTTATTACTACGTATCTCTAAAACGGCTTAACGGATGACGTTAAAATTAAGCACAGATGTTAACTAAAATCTGGAAACTCTAGCTTCATATTAAGTTTGCTTTTAATTTTCAGTGTAATTCGCGGACAAAAGCAAGTAAAGTGTTAAAGTGAAAATGATTTACACGCCCTAGTACTAGGATATATCGTGTAAATTCTTGGGCCATAGCTAGTAATGACTACGACGTACTTGGCAGCAAAATGGGTAGAGGTACTGCGATGGGGGGTTCCCGTCGCGGGGACCTGACTTGATCCCGGCCGCGTGATATTTCACGTATCTGCAAAATTATGCTAACATTATTCCAATTGAAAAACTAAACATTGCAAAGGTAAGATTAATAAGAAACTGTGTTGTCTTCAAGACTCGGATCCTAAGCTGTTTGGCTGGCGAATGTCATACATTTTTCATATTGGATATATAATAATAAAATGTAGTAAAATTGAACAGAATATAAGCTAGTCTGTTGTGTTGCTTTTAGAAAAGTACTTGGGTGAACCGCTTTTTATTTAAATGTAATTTTAGTCCCTTTCTCG